AGAAAGGTCTGGCCAGAGCGAGCAGACTACAGCGATCTATCTATCGCTGTAGTCCTCCAGAGGCCTGTTTATTTAAATAAACTGTGCCCCCATTTCTATTCTATTTCAATTAACGCACACCATACATAATAAGAAAGATGGTGTTCGCCGGCGGGTAAGCACGTAGATGGCGAGCCTAGGCCGAACAGAGATGGGCTGCACAGAGGTCGCTTTCTTTATCCGTTTGAACGTTTAAATACATTCTACTCATATTTCAATTCACAAGTATTACATAAATCCTAAGTCTCCAATTAAGTGGGGCTTATTAGAGAATCCTCTTCCTATCCAACGTATATATAGCTTGGCTAGCCTAAATAAACGTATTCCTAGACTTAGTGCGCGAAAACAATAAGAAATTAGTTCAAGAAGTACTAAAAAAGGTGCTAGTGGCAAAGGTACGCCTTGAGGTAATAAAAAACTCAAAAAATGAAGTCCATGTAAAATCGTATATCAAAACGACTTCTGGCATCATCAAAAGGGATAGGGGTCAAAACTTCAATCTGATTTGCACAGACTTACTGAAGTGCCCTCCGAACCGTGCGAAATAGTTGCCCATTACACGGCTCACTAACTCTACTTGCTTTGAGTTCTCTTACCTATTTGGCGGGGTTTCACTGGATCAAGTGACCAGTTACCCCCGTGGACTTCCAGGCAACCTCAGGACACGAAGTGGGCGAAGCCGAAGGCAGTCTTACCTGTTTGTCCATCTCCAATAATAAGTTCTCGTTGACCACGACCTATTGGAACAAGGCTATCCACCGCTTTTAATCCTGTTTGCATTGGTTCAAGACATGCTGCCTATTAGCATCATAGCATAAGTAAAAGGTAACAAAAAAGCTAATCCTCCCATTTTGCGCATATCTTGTTCATCAGACATTGCATGAATCACAGAACCTGTTTGAATAGTCTCATCATCATCAACAAAGAACCAATGTCAACATCCTATCTGGCGCTCGGCACCCAGACTACAAATGGCAGATCCTATCCAGCCTATCTACAATGTCGCTGATGACGTCAACAGCTCCCCGAAGTACGAGCAGATCTTGGCCAATGCCGTTCGCCTCAAGCACCAGGTATGTCTCTCGCCTCACTCATAACCTCGATCCCCAACTCACAGATGCCACATGCACCCAAGGACCACCATGCGCCCCATCGAGCATACAGCAGCGCAGCTCGGCTATGGCTGCCTGCTCCTTCCAGCTCGCTTGTGAGTGCATGAGCGCTGACCAGCGTATAGCGCAGCAGCGCTTGCGCAGCATGCAGCCAGTGCCCGAATGAGGAATGTGTGGGCAGGCACTTTCCTAAATGGAAATTGCCTGCCTGCGGCGTGAAGCCTGGCTGCACTGGGCCCCTGCCCAGAAGCTCCCGGTAGGCCCCGAGAGGTGTGCCCCAGTCCACACGAATCAGGCCCTGGGCCTCTGGTGGTTGCCCGTGTCCAACTGCCCTCGGCCTGTGTTCGGTCCATGTTGCGTATCCGGCCCAGGGCTTGCCTCAGTTACATACGAAAAAGGCACCCTGGGCCTTGGCGTTCTTAACCAACTGGCGCTGCGCAACTGCCTGAATTTACCTAGTTGCGCCGTGACCCCAAAAATAGGCCTATTGGCCCTGGGTCGAGCCTGCCTTCACTTAGGGCGGCCGACTGTACAGAAAATAGGGCCCAGTAGGGCAGATCGAGGCCCTGAGCCTCGCATTCCCTCCTCCATACTTCGACAGTCCTCTGAGAAGTCTGATTACTCAATCTGGCGCTTTCCTTTCTGCAGTGACTTCTCATAATGAGCGACAGCCTGTGGAGCACTCTGCTTCAGTTCGTCCCGAGTGAACCATCTGTCGGATTCTGTCCTCCTTAGGATCAGTGTGATGTCTGAACCGAACGCGGTACTGCAGCTTCGGCTTAGGAGGACGTCCCCTGCCTGTCGGTCTTGGAACTGTCATTTCTCTGTGGTCCACGATGTCGTCGATGTCGACCTCTCCATCCATGGTTGGGGGCAGCATCAAGCGTCGCAAGGGAAACTGTTCAGTTTCCTTGAATGGTGCAAGCTTAGAGGCGTGGAAGACAGGGTAAGTGCGAAGATGACCAGGGATATGTATTACATATGATGGCCCATCCAGATCCTCCCCGACAATATTAAGAACCTCCCAAGGTCCAAAGTACTGTGGCATGAGCTTGCGGGGGATATCCCGTGCTCCTGTCCCAGTTCCGAGGACTTGACCCAGACTCTGTCCCCTACCTGAACTGTTGATGGGCTGCTGTGCTTGCTCTCAGACTCTATCATCGCCGCCTGGGCCTTGTGCATCTGTTCTACCGCTTGCTGCATCAACTGCTCATATCGATATTCAAATTCTAACGTTCCAGGTGCAGCTGTCGGCTGATTCTCAGGTAGCAGGAAGTCTAGAGGCAGTCTAGGCTTAAAAGTCAGTAGCAGGCTGTTAGGACTCACCCCTGTTGCGCTGTGCACGACATTGTTGTACAGGCTGGCGATGAGAGCAAGTTTCTCATCCCATTCCACCTGGTTGGGCTTTATGTAGTGCCTCAACAGGTGTTGTACAACGCGGTTCAGCTGCTCCGCTTGCCCGTTTGCCGCTGGGTGGTTCCCAGAAGTCATCTGCAGATGTGTTCCTTGTTCTGCAGCGGCTGCCTTCCACAACTCACTAGTGAATCGGACATCCCGGTCACTTACAATGGACTTTGGAAGCCCAAAGTCTCTGACCCAGTTTTCTTTAGACGACTTAATCACATACTCCGTCTTGGCTGTAGCAGGCATTGCGACTAACCTAGCATAATTGCTAAACCTATCCACAATGACATAGACATATCTCATTCTGCTCTTGCTGGTGACCAGCGTTTCCATGAAATCCATAGAGAGGCTCTCACCGGGCCTTTCCGGAATCGGAAGGGGCTTAAGAAGCCCAAGAGGGGCCTGTGTGCATGGCTTGTCTCTCTGACATACCTGAGAAGTCTCCACGTACAGCTTCGCATCTCTCATCGTTGTGGACCAGAACCGCTGCAAAAGATTTGCTGCAGTCTTTCTATACCTAAAATGTCTGGTGGCATTATGACACTCACCTAAAAATAAACTACGCAAGGACTCCCAATTTGGAACACACAAACATTTATTCCCGGCCTTCTCAAGGAACAGCAGGCCGTTGACCAACACAAACTCGTCGGCAGTTGCTTTGTATTTTGCCTCGAGTCTGCGTATGATTTCGGCCATAAACGGATCCTCATGATAGGCTTCCACCAAAGAATGAATAACATCGTCTGCAAGCCCAAATTCAGTGACCAGCGCACCCAAGAAGTCTGGCCTATGCGACAACGCATCAGCAACCTTGTTGTACTCCCCCTTGATGTATTGGGGCTCAAAGTTGTATTGCTCTATGACTTCGATCCATCGCTTCAGAGCATCGGAGAGTACCGGTCGAGTCTTCATCCACCTCAGGGTCTGATGATCAGTTCTGACGTAGAAGAAGCGACCAAGTAGGTAGTGCCTCCAATGAGTCGACGCTTTGTAAATCGCGTAGAGTTCCTTCTCATAAGTGGACTTGGCCAGCTTTTGAGAGGGCATATTTTTGGACATGTACTTTATCGGCCTCAACTTTTTCCCCTCGTGCTGCGCAAGTACGGCACCAATGCCATATTGGCTGGCATCCGTGGTTACAACAAACGGCTTGTCAGGATCGGGCAGTTTCAAGACCTCATGGTGAGTGAGGGCATGCTTCACACCTGTCTGTCCACTCCCATGGGGTGTCAAGGCGTGTCAGATCCGTTAAAGGGGCGACCATTATGCTATAGTTCTTAACAAATTGCGGCAGTAGTCGATCATCCCTAAGAAGGACCTCATCTCAGTCACAGACTGAGGACACGACGAGTGACGAATGCTGGTCACCTTCGTGTCATCGGGCTTCAATCCCTCCACGGAAATCTCATGACCCAAGCACAAGATCCGGGTGCGGCCAAACTCACACTTCTCCCCGTTGATCTTGAACTGGTGCTGTCGAAGGAGGCTAAGGACTTTGTCTAAATGGCCAACGTGCTCCTCGACAGTCCTACTGAAAATAAGTATGTTATCGAGGTACACGATGACAAACTTATCCAAGTAGTCATGAAAGATCCTATTCATGGCGTGATGAAAGGTGCCAGGAGCATTGCAAAGGCCGAAAGGCATCACCACAAACTCGTACAGACCGTAGCTGGTCTGAAAAGCGGTTTTCTGTTGATCCTCGGGCCGGATTGCAATTTGATGGTACCCGGACTTCAAATCTATCTTACTGAAGTACCGACACCCTTCAAATCTATCTTACTGAAGTACCGGCGCCCTTCAAATCTATCTTACTGAAGTACCGACACCCTTGCACTTGGTCCAACAAGTCATCGATGCACGGTAGGGGCTCTGCGTTCTTCACAGTGATGGCATTGAGGCCCCTATAGTCAATGCACATCCTCAAGGTTCCCCCCTTCTTCGGTACAAATAAAACTAGAGACCTGTAAGGGGAGACACTAGGCCGAATCCAACTCTTCTCTATGAGTTCCTTGAGCTGCCGACGGAGCTCATCGAGCTCGCCTGGAGACATCCGATAGATCCTACCCTTCGGAATGATAGACCCTGGGATAATCTCTATCGCGTGGACGACCTCCCTCTCAACAACCCCTTTCGGCTCTTCAAATAGATCAGGGTACTTAGCGGCCACTCCCTTTATCTCCGGCGGCATTTTCACCGGCTCGCTTGTTGCAGAGACATAAACTAAGTACATACCCTCCTCCGGATTTTGCTTATAATAATTATAAAACGCGGCCTCACACATGCATCCATAGGACCCGATCAGACCACTAGCTTTAAACTTACGTAATCTGGCGGTCCTCCCTCCGGGCAAAAGTGTGTTTGACCACTTTTCGGTCCCCGTCAAACTGGGGCTGTGCAGCCGAGAGGTAGTCCATACCTAACAAGATATCCATAGGGAGATCATTGCTTACTAGGAACGAGACTCGATGTCTCAGTTCCACTCCCGCGTACGGGAAAAAACACTCAATGTCTTTAAGGTAGTCATTGACTACCATGCGTTGTTTGTTGGCACAAGTCGACTCCACAGGTCGACTCAGGCGTTGCACTTGCCACTGTAAACGCAGTCTCTCAATGCACTCGCGACTAATGAAGTTCCGCGTCGAGCAAGTGTCATAATAGGCCCCGGACTTACAACCGCCGATGACCACCTCGTCGACGAACAACTCACCCTTAGGGGCTTTGGCCATGGCCGTCCAAGAAGTTAGCGGGTGCGATCTAGACCACTCCTCCTCTAGCTCCTCTAAGGACTTGAACACATTCAGCGAACAGAGGATTGTTGGGTCCGAATGTGTTTGCGGGATGACGATGGAGTCAGTAGCTTGGGCCATCTCTCGAGATGGTGAGGGTGTGACCACCACCTCGACCCTAGCAGGATCAGCTACTATTCCTACTGGCCCGATGCGTTTCTCGGAGTAGTGCCAGAACCGCTGGCCACATTGCTACCTACGGGAGCAGAGGATCCCAACACCGGCCCCATCTTAGGCGGGATCTTCTCGGTCTTAGGCGGGATCTTCTCGGTCACCTTCTTGTTGCGGCACTTGAATTGGTTATTGACCACAACGAATACAGGCCTGCTTGGTATACCGGTCTTTCCACACGTCCTCTATGAGACCTGCTTTCTCTCATGGAGGAGCGTTAGGGTCAACTTGACTCCTAGACCGGGAACCTCCGTAGACGCCTTACCTTTCTCGACAGAGGCAGCGACTGTTCCACCCCCTGAAACTTCTACGTTGCCCGCCTCTGAACCAGCTCCCGCCTGGAAGTCGTCTTCTAACTCGATGGTAGAACCATCATTGTCGACGAACATTATGAGGCCTTTCGCCTTCTAGCTGGGAGGCAGTGCCTTCTTCCTACCGTCCGCCGTGGGTGTATGTCCATGCCCTATCTTTGCCTCTAGGTCTAGGGCCTTCTTGTTGAACGAGGGAAAGTTGTGCATATTGATGTTGGCCTCACCTGCCAACTGATTCCTGAGAGGCAAAGGAAAACATCTAAGGTATGCAATCAGTAAGACCTAGGGGTCATAGCGTACTCCAGGAACAGAGATAAGATGTTCTGCTGCGTCTGTGGCTTCCCTTACTGACTTGAACTGCCTGTTGTTCAAAGTCAGGATTGCGTCAGTGACCTTTTGAGCCTCCTGAGTATCATGCCACCTATCTTCCACCAGCTTAAGGAAGTCCTCCAGTTTTTGGTTAACTGCCCAAGTGCGGAAGTCATGACCGTATCCCTGTAGTTGCACTAAACCACTCAACCATCTTGCTGCACTCCCCTCTAAATAGGAGGCAGCCACAAACACTTCCTCGTGCGACAAGGTCAATTTACATTTGACATAGATTGGCTCTGACCTCAACCATGTGTCGAGGTCTTCGCCCTTCTTGCCCCCTGTAAGGGGTTTGGGGGAGGCGATGGCCGTCGTCGGAACCCATTGGCTTTGTCCCGGTACCTGTCCCACTCCAGGCTGTGGACCTTGGGGACCAGGCTGCTGCACTAGCTGCTGCTGGGTCTATGTACCCTGCGGCTGTGCAGGCTGCGAGACAGCAGGTTGCCCGGTTATGGCAACCTGCGGCGGAGGTTGGGAACACACTGGCTATACAGGAACTTGTACACTAGGACCTGCTGAGAACCTGCCTGTCAAAGGCATACTCAGGGAAATTGCTTGGACCGATACTGGAGAGACATATGGGGATACCATAGTCACCGGTGGGACAAAAGGAGGAGGATGCACAACGGGCCAGGCACCGGGCCCGGACGGCGATGGAGCTGCCTGTGCCCGTCCGACCAATACGGCCAGACTCTGCTGGATGTCCTGTAAGAGAGCCGTCTGGTGGTCGTGCATTTCTACTACATCTAGCAGGACGGTCCGTAGGGTCCTCACATTATCATCCATGTACGTCAGATCCATCCCCTCTAACTCGCTAACGTCCGCTTGTCTCCGCTGTATCCTGGCTCTTCTTCTAATCATTTTCTCCTTCTCTGCCTTGATCTCTCCTAACGCCCTATGTAGCTGTGCCTCCTGAAGTGCTGCTTGCTGTATGGCGACCTCTTCAGGGGTCAACACTATTGGCTGGCTTGCCATAACGTCAGTGAACTGACTCAGGGTCTGCGCAATCGTTGACCCTACGGTCCCTGAACTGCTGGCCTGGGAACTCTGCTGTGCAGCAGTTGCCATGGCTGCTGAAGCAGCAGCTTCGCTTGTGAACGCCCTGCTGACCTTTGCTGCCCTGGCTCTCCTCTGCTGCTGCTGTCTCTCCCTAAGCTTGTGGAACAGTAACCTGTCACCCTCGGGTCCTAATGCCACGTGGGCTATCGGGCGTCTAGCCGATCGCAAGATCCTGTCGTCCTCGCTAGTGGTCTCCCTGTCGCTCATAAGCTACAGAACTAAACACAATCTGCACTAGGTCACACTCGATGCCTACCGCAGCATAATGCACAAACCGATTTAAAATAAAATAATGTCAATAATAGGTGGCTATGTCAGAGACTACACATTTGGGTCCAATAGGTAAGTTCAGATTCCTACAAACGAAACTATTTCTTCTTTGACTAGTTCACAAACAGAAAGCACAATGAACAGAGAACAGTTCTTACTATGCTGTCTGTCAGATGTTAATGGCTGTACATCTAACTAATCAAAATAAAAATATAATCATTTGATTGGCTGTTTGCAGAGTGGAATCTTTCCCAAACTTATCACCTGGAATCTACCCCTCCCTTAGTTCTTCCTGAATGCCTCTTGTCGTCAGCGTCCCTGAGCATTCCGGAACAGCGTGCGTGTCTAAAGTTGTGCACACGGCCCACCCCTGTGCCCCAAGTCCTGCTGAGCTGGCCAGCCCTGCACAATATTTATGCTCGCATGCAGCGAGCCTTACACCGATCAAGAGGCATTTTTATGGACGCCCCCCGAAGTCCTCAGGAATTATTTAACGTCGCAGACAGGATGATGATCACAGCCAATGGAAGGTCCCCGCCGATACTTATTTATAGATGTCTGGTACTCGTCTTTCCTGTAGGGCTGGCCTGCCCCTCAGAACCCATCTATAGCGCAGCGAGCAGACAAAGGACAAAGCAGCAAAGCATGCGTGCTCTACTCCCGGTGGGTTGGCATGGTGACCGTGACCCAGTGCTTCGTCCAGGGCCCTTCAGATAGCTCCGCCCTCTCCTTCCAGATGCTCCACGTGAACACTGATGACTCTCAAGGTTGAGCGCACTCAACTCCTCACATGAGAGGACTCTCAAGACAGAACACACATCCTCACGGTAAGAAGTGTCGAAGAGGGTATATAAGGTTAGGTGCAACGTACCTCAAAATAGCTGCCCCCAACCACATATATTCTCACCAAATGACCTGATGCCGATTGTGTTGACCAATCGCTGCTTCGGCACAAACAGCATTACACCGCCGTTCCACCTCAGCATCAATCGCACATCAGTTAGTTCTCATCACACTGCCAACACTCGATATTCACCACGTAGCCTTCCTGGCGATACCCCTCACCTCCTGGTCGCCTTACTTGCCTTCGCCCTCCTCACTACACACCTCCCACGGCCGCTCGCTCAGTAGACCGCATGCATGTACCGCTTAGGCAGAAGACAAGCGCCAGATGAGCGCACAGTACCACAGCTCTGATACCAAATTGCAAGGAAAATGAGCGATAGCGAACTCTTCAGAAACCAGGCAACATCATACACATGAGACCAGATAGTCGTGACCTCGAACCAAAAATCAGAATTGCAACATGAGTCCCACCAAATAAGAGCACAGCAAAAGCTCATAAGTGACAATGTTCGAATAGTCTCATCATCATCAACAAAGAACCAATGTCGGCATCCTATCTGGCGCTCGGCGCCCGGACTACAAATGGCAGATCCTATCTGGCCTATCTACAATGCCGCTGATGACGTCAACAGCTCCCCGAAGTACGAGCAGATCTCGGCCAATGCCGTTTGCCTCAAGCACCAGGTATGTCTCTCGGCTCACTCGTAACCTCGATCCCCAACTCACAGATGCCACATGCACCCAAGGACCACCATGCGCCCCATCCAGTACACAGCAGCGCAGCTCGGCTATGGCTGCCTGCTCCTTCCAGCTCGCCCGTGAGCGCGTGAGCGCTGGCCAGCGTATAGCTCAGCAGCACTTGCGCAACATGCAGCCAGTGCGCGAATGAGGAATGCGTGGGCAGGCACTTTCCTAAATGGAAATTGCCTGCCTGCTGCGTGAAGCCTGGCTGCGCTGGGCCCCTGCCCAGAAGCTTCCGGTAGGCCCCTAGAGGCTGTGCCCCAGTCCACACGAATCAGGCCCTGGGCCTCTGGTGGTTGCCCGTGTCCAACTGCCCTCGGCCTGTGTTCGGTCCATGTTGCGTATCCGGCCCAGGGCCTGCCTCAGTTACATACGAAAAAGGCACCCTGGGCCTGGGCGTTCTCAACCAACTGGCGCTGCTGCCTGAATTTACCTAGTTGCGCGGTGACCCCAAAAATAGACCTATTGGCCCTGGGTCGAGCCTGCCTTCACTTAGGGCGGCCGACTGTACAGAAAATAGGGCCCAGTAGGGCAGATCGAGGCCCTGCGCCTCGCATTCCCTCCTCGATACTTCGACAGTCCTCCGATTAAAACAGAATAGAAAACAAACTGGAGAGACCCCGAATCTCTCAGTGCTTGCGGGGGAGAGAGAGAGAGAGAGAGAGAGAGAGAGAGAGAGAGAGAGAGAGAGAGAGCACCAAGGCGAACTCGCCGCAAGCCCCTGCACAGTTTGGCTCTCTCTCTCTCACAAACACACACACTCACAGCCCCCGCCGAATTTCCCTGTGGACATGAGAAGGAATCTTCCCCCTTAATGACGTAAGATTCCCTCTCTCTCTCTCTCTCTCTCTCTCTCTTCCCCCCCCCAACCGCTCCGTTGTTTTTCTCAAGTTTTTTTTTTTTTTTTCAAAGACGAATGTAGTTTTTTTTTCCTCATTTTAAACCACCACTACCTCCCAACCTGTTTTTGCCGACCCTGATTTTCACTGCGCACCGAGTTTGGCCGAGCCGGGGCAGTTTCATCGAAGAAAGAAGAAGGGGAAAAAAAAGAAAAAGAAAAAGAAAAAGAAAAAGAAAAAGAAAAAGAAAAAAAAGAGACTTCCCGAACGCCTTGATAACCGCCAGATACATTCGTCCAAGCACTTGTGTGACTGTGCCCTCAGTGAGGGCATGTAT